TTAACTCCTACCCTAAGGGTCCAAGGACCCAAATAATAGGGTTCCTTTAAAAGGGTTCTAGGGGGATATATGGTTTAGGGTTTAGGATCCAAGGACCCAAATAATAGGGCTGTAGGTCTCAAATACCATGAATATTATAGTAGGGCTCGAAAACACCATTATTTGAGTCCTGAGACCCCCTAAACCCTAAACCCCTAAACCCCAGACCCAAATCGGTAAAAGCAAGGGTTCAGGCATCCCCCGCTTTATGGGACCATGGGGATACTGATGGATTAGGGAACACCTCCTGAAGGGGTGCAGTAGCGTTATACTGGGCTTACTTAGGGGCTGCATCACCTAATGGGAGCGAGAATTCTCCGGATGCGACCCCTAAACCCTAAACCGCGTGGAGTTAAAAGCTGCTGTTCTATCATCGATGGGTTAGCAATTGGGGCAGTTTGATGTGAGGTCTCTGAAAGCCACGCATTTTTGGAGATTCTGCAAGGGTCCCCTTGAGGATTGCATATTTCCTGAGAAACTTCCATGTACATCTCGTGCAGTCTGACGAGGGAGTTTTGTTGCTATTTCTCAGTTGCTATCGTTCAGATGCAAGTGTAGGTCTTCCCGAGCAGAGTATGTGATGGTACTGTAGAAGCCTCAGAAATTATCAACATTATGGTCCCCTATTTCTTTTAGAACTAAAGTTCAATTAGGGAACCTCAAATAAATTAGGGAACCCTAAACCCTCAACCCTAAATCCTGAACCTCCAAATCTTGTCGTTATTTTGGTCTCTACATTCGATCTTGTGGGCTTTAGAGTTGGTGGTTTAGGGTTTAGGGTTTAGGATTTAGGGTTTAGGGTTTAGGGTTTAGGGTTTAGTGCTTAGGGTTTAGGGTTTAGAGTTTAGGATTCAGGGTCGCAAAGCCCAGGTCAGCTAATCAGGCTTACCTAGACTGATCCATGTTCCTACAAAAAATGTCTTTGTGCCCAATGTGAGCCATAATCAAAATCTCATTAGATAGGGGACCATTGTAGGGGTTGTTAAGGGGGATGCTGGGAGTTGGACTATAATTAGCTCATATGCTCGTATTTGTACTTTTTTGGGGGCCCTAGGTGCCTACTAGACTCCCCAGCCTCAAATTTCTCTACGAGAAGAATCTCCTAAACCCGACACCTCGAAATTGGTACGGTATTGTTGTTGAGATGATTATAGGGTCCGGAGTTTAGGGGTGGGGTTACCACAGCCCTCTTATGTTTTTTTGGCTCATACAAGCCAATGTGGCTGCTGCAGATTGCTTAAGGCCCGGTGCTTTCCAGGGTTGGGCGACCCCAGGGTTTAGGGTTTAAGGCTTATGGGCCCCTGCCTTCTTCCTTCTTTCTGTACCCTTCGCAACCCCATAAGGCCACTTCCCGGCCCATACGTAGAGGCCTATACCAAGGTACCATGGTCAGGACAGGACCCTGCAGGTTTCGGAGTCTGAGCTTCAGGTTCAAGACATTGGGTACGGCGTTGGGGCTGGCTTGGGGCGGTACTATTGCGACTATGAACCCTTCATGCCCTTATGTTACTGAATTCTCATTATCCCGCGCATACAATGGTCTGAGTATGAACGGCATGTTGCCTGTCTTATGATCCTACACGTAATTACAGTCAAGATTACCGTGATTCCTTCTACGGCTGTCGCAGTCCTGTCCGTGCAGCTTTTTGGCCGTGATTCGTAGAAGAGACCTTAGAAGTTTTCCTGTTGTCATTGATTTGCTGTTATCACTTGCAAAAGCAATCGTTCTGGTCCGCGCGATGAAAGATGTGTGCTGTTACTGTTCCCTTCACTCTTCATCACCTACTTCTACTCCTTAAGTCCCATTCCTAGTGTTGGACGTGCACCATTCCGAAGTTCCCCTAGCGGGGTAGGGGCCCATTTTGCAGAGATGCATGTACTTCGCTTTAGTAAGCTGGGAATGAAGGAACGGAAAAGAGAATGGAAACTACTAGTATAATGGGTTATATGAGGGTCCAGTATAACGATCCATTCCTCCCTAAACTCGAAACCCTAAACCCTTAACCCACAATGGGTTACTATAAGGATCCACTCCTTCATTCCTAGCTAACCAAAGGTAAGTTTATTGTCATCATCGTTATCATGCTGCCTTCGGGGTCAGGGCTGCTGGAAGCTGCGGGTTGAGATTGAAGGGCGAGTTTATTGTTTAGGTTCAAGGTTGACCCTAAGCGTCCAAGTACTTAATCAGCATATACTTAGCCAAACCTGTACTACAACTACTGTTACCCAAAACCCAAGTACCTAATTATCGGGTACTTGGACCCTCTGTGTGAGGGGTACACAGGGCAAATAAGGACGATCTCACTTCTTGGTGGTAGTGACAAGTCCTGAGGTGAGGCTGTCAGATGGTTTTGCGCAAGTTCAGACGGAGAGTCCCTCAGGGTTTTTTGTCGAGTATGTACATGAGATGACCACTAGGGGGTGGGGGCCCTTGAGTAGAGAACTACCCCAGGCCAGGTTCCCCAACCAAAAACGAGCAACGCAAACACCCCTCATCAGCTTGTAATTATCTTTAGATTTTAAAACGGGGCACACTCAATCTGAATCAATTGCGTCAAATCGTCATCGTTATCCCATTAACCGGTGTTGCCAAAGGTTATGCGCCCTGGTTAGCTTACTGCAGCACGGGCTAGTCGATCGGTGGTGCACGGGGATCCCTAGCTGGACAAATGCCCACAATGGAGAATCAAATGGAAAAGAAAATAGAAAATGAAATGGAAACTGGGATTATATGGGGGATTATAGGGGTTATAGTCTAAACTCCCAGTATCCCCCTTGATAAGCCCTGCAGTAGTCCATGTTACCCGAACAAACTCTGACAAAAACTGCTGTCCAGTAGAGAAGGCCCCATCTGATGGGTCGCCATGTGAGTTTGGGGAGGGTAGTTACCCAGGGGTTTAGGCGTCCCTAAACTTTAGACAACACTTTAAAGCCTAAACTGTAAAGCATCTCTCATTGGCTTGCAGCTTTCCGGCACTGTCTGGCTCGCAAGCACGCTATTCCTCAGGCCTGCCAATAGGACTTGCACGTAATTCTAGTTAGGGTTGCGAGTTTAGGGCATATTCCCCCGAAAAACTCTGAACGCTAGACCCCACCCTAAACCCTGAACCCTAAACCCTTAGGCACCTACAATAGCTCCCAAAGTGTGCAAAGTCTCAGACTTGTCTTCAGGCTGTGCCTAGGGAAAACTAGGCCCTGTAGATCCAGGGGCTCAGAGTAGGTACTCTTTGAAGATTTTTAGGGCCGAAAGTGAGTATTGTTCTTTCACTTGGACTCCCAGGGTTGATAGGTCGAGGTATGTTATAGATATAAGGGTCCCATAGAGATAATGGACAAGAAAATGGAGACTACTATCCTGGAGTTTTAGGGTTTAGGGACACCTCTTGCCTGAAGCCCTACGCCGTGTTGCAATTTGGCGTCCGGGCGGTGGGCAAAGAACGAATATCGACCGCGCGAGGCTGCAGATCCTCAGTGGCAGCCGGGCTTTACCTAAGGACCTAGGCACTTTATGTAGCTCTCCTTGCGGAACCTGGCTTTCGCCCTAGATTTTTAGCAGACAGGAGACCATTGTGATGTTGCGGTCGGGTTTAGGCTTTGGAGTTTAGGGCACAGAGTGTGGTGGCTATTCAATATTTGGGAGGGTCCGAGGCGCAGGGCAGGGCCTCAAGGGTTTAAACGCTCTACGGCTTCCGGTTCAAGGGTCCAGGCTTCACGTTTAAGCTTTTATGCAGTTTTTGTATGTAGCATGACCCCAGGTCCCCTTTGCTTTGGGCTTTGTGCTATTCTAGTAAGTAAACTAGGGCCATGCAGGTTGTCTAGCATCCACAGTGGTCCTAGGCACTTTTTAGTCTTTTGAAGACTGGGCTTCGTCAACGGAATTCGACGAGGTGAGGTTCCACCGCCTTTTGTCAGGTTTAGGCTTCTGGGTTTAGGGTTTAGGGAGCACCCAGCCGTACACCTCAAATCTCATGGAACCCTCAACCCGTAGCCCAAACTGTAAACCCTAAACCCTAAACCTCAAGCCTGCCAGGGGTTCTGAACCCCATAGATCCTAAAGCCACCCACCAGGGGCCGAAAGAACTGAGCTCTAAACCTGCGCAGGGTTGACGGGTTTAGGGAACACATGGTCCCCTTTGAGTTATGGGGGGGATTATAGTATATTGGGGTCTATATTGGGGGTCCCCTTATTTTAGGAAACTACCAAATAGAATATGGGGTCTTATCATGGTTTGGGGAATTCCATATTCTATCTACTGAAGGGGGACTGTAGCCCCCCAGCAACGTCTGAGCCACGGTCAGCAGTAGGACGGTCAACATTAGGCTTATTAAGGAGCCTGTAACTGCCGACATAGGGGTCCCTTAGTAGTTTAGTATACTCCCTAGTATACATCCTAAAAAGGAACCTACGACCATTAATTATGCGGGTAATACTTTGGGTGGACCCTCCGCGCTGCAATAAATAATAACAGGAATGTGAGAGGAACCTAATATACTCACCATGATCCCGCATAGTCACTATCACCGGGTGAGGGATCCACCTAAGTAACATCGACTGTAGCTCATCTGAGTTCCAGCGACACAGATCCTCGCCAACATGAGTCTGCCGGCTTGCGCTTGCTGTCCTCCGGGTGCGGAGCCTCTTCGTCACCTGTCCTCTCATGGCTTGGTTTGGCGTTTTTGGGCGTATACGAAAGAGTTTAGAGTTTAGGGTTTAGGGTTGCGTTCCTAGTTTCGTCGCCTGTCCTCTCATGGCTTGGTTTGGCGTTTTTGGGCGTATACGAAAGAGTTTCGAGTTTAGGGTTTGGGGTTGCGTTCCTAGTTTTTCTTACGAGTCCAGTAATGAATAACTCAAAGAGGAAGGAAGATGGAACATGAAATGAAAAGTGGGTTGATGCAGGGGTTCTGTGGTTTACCTCTGGCCAGCGGCGAATGAAGGAATGGAAAAGAACATGGCAGCTATTGTTCTTGGGTGTACCGTTTAGGGTGTCTAGAGTTCAGGATTTAGGGGTTAGGGAATTGAAAACCAATTCCACACCGTGGAACTACTACACTACAGCTTCATTCCTTCACTCCCGGCTTTCCATAGGCAGGCATGAGGGGTGGGGGTTCGGGCTTTCAAGATAATGTGGGGTGAGATGGGTATGCAGGCTTATAAACTCTGCGTCCTGCGCCACTCCGCGGCCAATCCTTGAATACTTAAGTCCTGTGGCGCCTTCTTTTCGAAAACACTTTCTAATTCCGTTCAGTATCCGATCCAGAACTCTTTTGTACTACTACTCAGTTTTTGCCCCCAAGACCCAAGCCCAACCAAGTACACCACATGGGGGTTAGGGTGAGAGGCGGCCGTCGCAACCACTCAGATGTGCGTTTTCATACAGTTTAAGGTTTATCCCAGACAGTAGAGGTCCCATTCTGGGGGTCCGTGTGCGAGGAGGGGCTATGCCGTTTGAGGGTGCACTTGATCAGTGGGGACTACAGTTTTCTGGAAAGAGTCAGGAAATTTAGAGGTCTCAGGCTTTTGGGCTGCGCAATGGCATAGCCCAACTGTAGAGAATCGAAACCCTAAACCCTAAACCCTAAACAGGAGAGATGAAGGACTACAAGCCCAAGCATTCCATGGGCACGATCAAGGATTTGCCATGCTATGTGGCGACGCCACCTGTGCCGACACAGAATCCTTGCTGTCATTTGCACATTTTTCTTCGCTTGCAGACACCTGCAAATGAGCCAAAGCTATTTCTCCTTCTTTTGAGTGCAACTGTTAGTAGGATTGCAGGGAAAGTAGTCACCATGAGGTGCATTTCTTCGGCAAAGGGGTAGCGTTGCAAGGGGATCACGATACTTTAACTCCCAATCCCATGCCAACATTTTGTTCGGGGCAACTTGCAGTAAATTATAGTAACATGACTTAGCCGACAAGTACATGGGTCCGCGCAACAGCAGCTCAAGATGGGCCATTAGACCTTCAAGGATTTTCAGGCTAGCTTAGGGTTTAGGGCGTTGTTGGGGTCCCCAAAACCCTAAACCCTAAACCCCTAAAGCTCATACATGCTAGCTCCTCTTCTTGTTGGGTCAGAGCCGTGCCAGCAAGATCTGGCGTGAGGACCGCTTCGCAAGGGTTCTTACTTGGAGGGTCATGGGGACTTAGCAAATAGGGTTACAGTAGGTAGGGTTCAGGGTTTAGGGTCATGGGAACTTAGTAAGTAGGTGAATAATGTCGATAATTGGGCTTCTCATATGGCTTATAGGTGTCATTCACCTACTTATTGCGTGCCCATGACCCGCCAAGTGCTAGCAAAGGGTTTAGGGTTTAGGGGTTTTGGGGTTCCTAGAGTAAGAAAGGAGAATAACCCTCAGATGGGGGGGTTTTGCAAATTAGGGTTTAGGGCTCAGGTCCTTACTTCGGAGTCCCCCATAATTATAACACGGTGCATGTTTGAGCACATAATGGGACCCCTCCTACTTATGGAAACTGCATTTAAGAGAGACTTCCGCTTCACCGCTTGCCCTTGGAACGTCGCAGCTTCCGATGTGTTAAGGAAAGGAGTCGTCCTCTTTGCGGACATGCGCCTAAGCTATGCTGAAGACATGGCGAAGTCATGAATATGGGGGCTCTCATGAATGTAGGAGGTTTCAGAGACATTGGGGCCCATTGTTCTGTGAAAAAATCCTATACACTTTTTTTGCAAGAGACTTCGCATATGATCCTCAACAGGGGCCCTGTAATGTCCAATAGTTCCTGTACATGTGTAGTGTCAAGGCTCCACCTTTGCCTGGAACATAAACATTAAACATGTGCGGGTGAGGTATGCTGTGAGGAGCAAATTTCCATCGTAGCTTCCCAAAACGGGGGACCCCTATACAGACCCCCAAACACCATGGTCCTTCTTATGCCCCCAAAACTCTTTATTTTGGGATCCCTCCGCAATGTTGCAGGAGCCTGATAAAGTGGCTGGTTGCGAGAGGCGTTTTTGACTTCTTGAAGGTGTCAGCATCTGAGATGTTACACTTCCAAGTTGGAGTGCTGAGTTTCAAGCCCTGAAGCAGAAAACCCTATTTTCTCATGGGCAAGGGAGCCCACTTTAAAGAGGCACGATTGGTTCAAAACGGGTTGATCTATTGGATATGGTAGAATGCTAGCTCCAGGAGCCGTCCAAGTATTCTAGAAAGCGCAACCCTAAATGGGGGTTTCCCAAAATTAGGGGTACCTTTTTAGGGGTCCCAATAATAAGGACTATAGTATTTTGGGGTCCATATTGGGGTCCCCTTATTTTGAGAAACTACTAAATCCCGAACTCTCTGAAAGTTCATAAGATCGCAACATTCTCAGTGCTGACAACCGAACTTCCGCCTGAACCCTAAACAAAGCCGCATGATTGAACACGTAGCCCGAGACCGCGGCACCCCTCTGCAAGAAGTTGCCTTCATTTAGAACTATAACCCTAAGGGTCTTTAATTTCTATTACCCAAAACCCAAGGTACCTGACTATTGGGTACTTGGACCCTTAGAAGTATAAGATGAATTATTGATAGGGAGCCCCCATGTTTCCACAGGTAAGCCGCGAGTTTGGGGAACTTAGTCATAATTGGGTATTTACTGGCATTATATATGTAGATACAGATGTGGTAGTTTCTATAAACAGGGGAAATACTCTTATCCTTATTATGGTAACCCCGCATCTCAGGTTCGGAGTGCATACTGGCCGTCACAAGCAATTCTGCAGCGGGGACCGACAGGGTTAGGGTTCAGGGAGACTCGTGCTTGGAATCTAGGGCTTAGGGCTTCAGGACCCTAAGGCCTTAAGCCCAAACCCTAAGCCCTGGGTGGTTTGCGTGTTACATACTGATTAACATGTCGGTTGTGACGTTTAATCCCTTGAGTTTTGACGTTGAGGCATGGGGATTTCGGGTCCCGGGTCTGAGGTGTTGGGTTTAGGGTTCGAAGTTTAGATGTTTGGTTCTGGTTTTAGGGTTTAGGGTTGTAAGTACGCGCGTGAGATTTGTTTTTTAAGGGTCTGCTTCTCCGAGGACCCAGATCTTGACTTACCTACTCCAACCCTTGCTCAAGGAGAGGCGTGGTTTTTAATACTTTGCAGGACCCAGGAGTCAGGCAAGTCACTGCATCCGCGTCATCAACCCATGACAGCCCCATTGCAGCCCTGCATATAGAAGTAGATTCCCAAATGGATTAGTGACCCCAAGGGTGCCACAGAGTCATCCCCAATTATCCCCATTATTAACCTACTTACTAAGTCACCATATGGCCCTCCAAGTAGGGAATATAGGGAGACGATACGGGTCCTCATTGCGGATTCTGCGGGGAGGGTTCCACGAATCTCCCAACTAATCCTCTCCGCCTAATATAAAACCTCCCCACCCGCCTAATATCAAATATTCCACATTGTGCTATACCATTGTATATTGGGCATGTTTAATATTATGGGGGTGGGGGGGTGTTTAATATTGGGGGAGGGGATTAACCTTTCACAGGACGCTTGGGTTTACCCCCCCACAAGCACACAGCGAACGCACTTTCAATGGCAGCATACAATTCCTTTTGGAGGCCCCATGCCACGACTCACGACTGGCTCACCAACTTCCTGGGACACCTCTTTGCATGATCACCGGAGTTTCGATTTCAGAGTATTTGAAAGGCTTTCCCGCATACAGAGTCCTGACAGTAAACACGTCAAATTCTAAAGAGCCTGGACACAACCAGCCTTTGACCGTAGCATGTGAAGATTAGACCCAAAATACAACCCCTCTTATTTGGGTTTAGGCGCCTGCCAGGGGACCCAAGAAGGACCGCTGCACTGATTGCCATCTCCTAAGCGCTTTTGATGCGAAATCATAAGTCTTGTGTACATCCGACGCCCGAAGTCCGAAATCCTAAGCTCTACTTTTCGGAAGTGTGAAATGGGTTGCAGTGGATTTGAATGGGATTAATCTGGGCTCATTCAAGGGATATAGTACGTTACCTGACTTCAAAGGAGTCCCTAGATGCTCATCGGCCTTATATAAACCGGGATCGACCGTTTCAGACCAAACCCCTTCAAATCCTCTGTCGTCTGTCTGTGTATCCTATCTGGGAGCCTGTAGGAATCCATCCTTTAGATCGTGAACCCGCACAAATTCTATATCATTCTATAGCAGGGAGCTAGCCATTAAGGTGAGTTAGAGGCAATTTGGGATACTTTCGATTGCGCGTGGCTGCTTTAGAATGGGATCCACGCACATATAACGTCGGAGGCCTTTGCAGCACAGCTTCCACAAAAAAACCAAAATTGAAAACCTTCAGCCCAAAACCCAACCAAGGCGACATGCTTGCTGAGAAGGGCTACCTAGCAATCTGCCCGGATTTCTTGGCAGGCCACTGCAGAAGCTTCAAAGTTAGGGGTTTAGGGGTTTAGGGTTTAGGGTTTAGGGGTTTAGGGGTTTAGGGCCCCAGGGTTTAGGGGTTTAGGGGTTTAAGTGTTTAGGGGTTTGGGGTTTCAAAGACAGCGCGTACCCTCTTTGCAACTGTTGGCCTACTGAGAATACAGCCCCGCGCCACTGAATGGTAAATATTCCCTTTCCTGTACCCTCACATGATTCGGCTAGACTTTTTACTGCTATTCTCATTATGATTATGATTCTTATTATCATTGCTATCATTACTATCATTACTATTATTGCTACTATTGCCATTATCACTATTATTGCTATTATTATTGGTGTTAGCTTGGTGGGATGGCTGCTTTGGTTCAAGCAAACAAGGACAACACACAAAGGCATGCAAGCCTGCATTTTTTGAGGCTGCGATACAGACTCAGCACGAGTCCAGGTTGTCACAAATTTAGCATGTGGGGTTGAGAGTGCGCAACAGCAGCCATGCTACAAGTATATGATACCATATATACATATTTATATTTATATTCTAATACGCAAACCATCCAATATTTTTTAGATATAAGACATAGGATATGGAATAGTAGAGAGTAAAATGTCCTACGCCTCCAGCATTGCACGCGGAGCAGGGGCCAAAATGGCCTCCGAGACTCAGGTCGGAGGGTGCAAAAAACATGGATCCAGAGTGGCGCCTGACATGCTGACACTGTTCCTATAGACTTTTTTTCCCGCATTCTCAAGCAGCCTTCCCGACGAACCTGGCTTCGCAGGAACTTTCAGGCGGAGAGTAAAATCCAGAATGCCAAATTGGAGCCGACGGGAGAGATGAACTGGAAGAGCGATAAGTATAAGATGAGCGTGAAATTTGACCGGCAAAGGAACTCTTGGTTCCTCCGTGAAATGCAGCTACCAGGGACTTCAAGAACAAGTGGACCTTTGAAGGGAAGGGCTACGATCTTGCCGTGACCATCCTAGACATGGAACTGAGGCAAGATAGGCCAGCAGTCTTTTCCTCACAGGGCGCGTACATGTATGTGCTGCAATTCGGTCCGGCAAGGTCTGCATTATGTGACTATTTCTATGTCCGCGGCAGCTACTACGCAGCCAACTTCTTCGATGGCGACAGGCTCAGGGCGTACTTCTGCCATGCGAACGGGTTGCACGTGTGCCGAGCCGCGGACGGTAATTGGTGCATGAAGCGGAGTGATGGTGGGCACGTCGCCAGGTCCTCAAGCATGGCTACCTTGTTTAGGTGCTGGGCGGTCAAGGGGCCAAAGTCTGTGATTGCAAAGGATTTTCGGAAAGCTCCCAACCTAGAACAGCGCTCGGGCCGCCCTTCTCGTGCAGCTCGGCGTCCCCAAATGAAATCTAGCATGGAGAAAGTGCGCAGTTAGTACTTCGAGACTCATTGCAAGGAATTAAAGATTGCGCTGGCAGTTCGAACTAACGAACACTGCGATTTGAAAGTGATTTACGGGATCTTCTGTAGGGAAGGCCACAGGAACAAGGTGCATGGAAGCCAATGCTTCGAGCGACGAGCTGACGGTGTCCTCCTTGACCTTGGCACTCATCTTGGCGCAGCAACGAAATGGTTTCTGGAGCCGCGGCCTGATGCAGCGAGCTCGGCGGGTTACTATGAACCGGGCCACTTTCGACTTGCTTTCAAACAACATGAAGAACGACACTCGGGTGACCGTCCATAAAATCGCCGTCAGGAGTGTCAGTGATCTACGGCAGTATCAACCTACGCGTAGGCCGAGTGGCATTGGCCCAAGACCTGGAGACCATTGTGCTCAAATCAGGCGGGCAATTTTATAACTCAGGGTTGCCATATCGAAAGCAATTCACAGCACAGCCTGGGACCATGCTACAATCTCACAGCACCTGAGCCCAAACTGGCCATTGTTTGATGCTGGCCCTGGAGGTTTGAAGATTTATTTCTTTCGACTCATGCGCAATTTGATGACACTGGTTTTCGCTTCATCATCAAGCTCCCGGTGGGGTGCAAGTGGGACCACTTCATCCAGGGTTCCGGGCCCGGCACACTTCGATCAGCCGCCGATCAGATGGCTCAGAGCCTCTCACCTGCGCAGATTCATCTGTGACGTTCCTGGGACTCATTTACAGTAATTGCTTCTGGATGAGAGTGGAGTTGATTTGTTTGCTTTCAGGAGGCCTGTCAATGAGAACTTGAGTCATTTTATTTGATTTCGCTGAACATTGCTGAAAACAGCTGACTTCGAATGTGCCAGCTGCTTTTGCGTGTTTTGCTACAAGTTTCTGCTATGTTGCAGTGTTGTGCTTCCATTTCGCAACTTGGGCGCATTTTGGGTTAAAGTTGGGCATGTCAGAAGCTGAAATCCAGTGAAATCCGTTGAAATGCGGTGGGCTCCGGTGAAGCCTTATTTTGGGGCCGATTTCACCTGAAAACCAGCATTTGGAGCCATTTCTGCGTCAAAACACATGCGAGCCACCCTCACTCCCCGTAAATGGGGTTCCCAAACGAGCAATGCCTCTAAAAGGGGATTTAGGGGTCTCCATAACAAGGATTATAGTATATCTAGGTCTGTATTTGGGTCCTCCCATTTAGGGAAACTACCAAATCACCTACATACCAAAAACAGGCTTGGCTCTGAGGCCACCAGTGAGGATGGCAATGATATTGATGATGGGGATGGCGGCGGTGATGGTGATGACTGTGATGATGGTAATGATGACCCATGGGGATGGTGATGGTGATCATGAGTCACACGATAAATACGAAGACACCAGGGAAATCGACAACGATGACAGCAACGTCCGTGGTTGCAGCACATGCGATGTGGGTGAGACGGAATAATTTGATGGGGTTAATCAGGATGACAGTAACACGTAGTGGCTACTTGTTTTGGAACCCTCTATCCTGAAGAGTGGCGGTTACAATGATGCTGGTGATCACGGATAAAGGATGAGGGTGATGGCGAGGAGGCGCGCGATGATGACGATGATGGTGGACAACCTGCTGCCTGACCCCTTGAATGCTGTACTACCAGACTTGCTGGACGGGTGTAGAAAGGGCTATGCAATTTCTTGTCCATCCAATACAAGGACTGCGAGCGCGATGAGCATGAAGACCTTGGCAAAATAGTGATGGCAGTTGCAAACAGAAGATGATGACGATGATGTCGGTGACTGTTTTTGGCGTTCTTATTGCTCTTATTCTTGATTTGTATTTTACATACTCAGGAGGGGATTAGCACGGAAGCTCTAAAGGGTCGCTACAAAGACGATTAACGTCCGATGCCAAAAGGGGCCTACATAGATGGATCCTTTCAGTATTCTGGTAGGGTTTCTTATTGTGAGGGAGTGGCAGGCCAACAGTTTAAAAACCTTAAAACTTGGGTATTGCCCCCACCCACAGTCTTTTCAGAAGCGCAATATTAAGGTCTATGTACAGCAATAGTATAGATATTATCTAACTGCTAGTGACTGTTAGTGAGTGGGAGCAGTCCTGAACCTTAAACCTATAGTGCAATCTTTCCCAAGGTTCCAAAGAAAATTGGACAGCCTAGGGTTTTGGGTTACTTGGAGCGACATCGTTGAGACTTTCGGGGTTGAGGATCTAGGGCACCTCAATTGGGGTGTTGACAGGCGCAAGGTGTGTGAGTGTGTGTGGGGGTGTGTGTGTCAACCTCAACCGAAAACCCTTTGAATTCAACCCTTAACCCTGAACGGGTTGGACCCTTTGAATTCAACGCCAAACCCTGAACCCTTTGAACTCACACATAATTATACCCTAAACCCTTCCAATTCAAACCTAGAGGCTAAACCCGGCTAAGCCCCAACTGACTCCCGGTTTCGGACATTGGCCCACAGAACGCAGGATTGCGAACTTAGGTTAAGTTACAAGTTTGCTATGTAGCCGAATTGTGGTCACTGAGCTTAAGTTCCTTAACAGCGAATTTCAAAAGTTGTCAAAATAGGGTGTCGTTTAGAGACCCTAGGGATAGAACACGTTTTTCTAGAAGAACTACGTTGAGAAACTACCATTTTGCGAGGTTTGTCCACCCCAGTATACCGAAGACAAAAACTGGAACCATAGTCAGTAGCCACAGACGTGAACCTAAATGAGCTGGCCGAAGATGGCAGGCAGTCTGAACCGTGGTTGAGGGGCACTGTGGATGTTGGTTTGCAAGTTGCAAGCTGTGTCACAACTGCAGGAATAAACCCAAAGACTAGACCCAGATTCACATGATAGCTACCCGCCTGCGGTAGGTTGAGGGTATGCGGATGAAACCCCATTGGGGTGCATACATCGGCCCATGTCGCACGAGACCTCACGGAATCCAAGGAAAGCATTGGAGACACGGCCCTTGCATATGGAGCCCCGCAAGACCCCTACATCCCAAACCCTTGGAATCCAGGTAACCCGATGTCAGTAGCATCTATAGATTTTAGAGCCCAATGTAGGTATTATTTGTTTTCTTGGATCTTTAAAGAACCCAAAGCCCCCAAAAGTCTTAACGCGACACCCCCAGTGATGCCTCGAGTCTTCGGACCCTAACAGTAATTGTCTCACAATGGCTGTTACGAAGAATAGTGATGATAATAATGCTCGTATTCCGAAGCCCCAAATTCTGGACTTGAACCTTTGTCTTAGTGCAGGCAAGCCCTACTCCATGTGCGCGCCCACTTACGGCACAAATTACTGCTGCCTGGCGGCCTCCGGGGTTCTTCGGACGTGCTTTAAAGGAATCTGGGATTAGGTAGTGGAAAGGGTCTGGGGCGTAGGGACCCCTAAGTCCCAAACCTTCATGTAAGCCTTATACCCTCAATCCTAGACCCTTGAGCTGTGTCAAGCTATCGTTTTTGTCTTCCGGGTGGAGTTGGAAGGGACGCGTGTACAGTCTGGAGCGCAAGCATGGGAGGGACTGGCTTGTCAAGCTAAGGGTATTGGGCTTAGGGACTAGGCTAGGGCTTAGGGTTTAAGATACAGGGTTTAAGGTTACTCCTGAATTGTTTAGCGTCAACGCCCCAAACCTGTGAACCCATCCGCTGGAGTAGCTCTTGCCGAGGAGCACATACAGCGTTGCTCACAGGGTTGACCTTGAGGTACCGGTAAAGCCCTAAAACCCTAACTTTAAACCCGAAACTCAAACGAACGAACCCTAAATTAAACTCTAAGCCCCGACCCTAAACCCCTAAACCTTAGACCTTGAACCGCTAACCCCTAAACCTTAAAGCCTGAACCCTTAAAGCCCTAAACCTTAAAGCCTAAACTCCTAAACTGTAAGGCCTAAACGCCTAACCCTAAACCCCCAAACACATATACCTTAAACCCTGCAGGATGCAGAGGGGATCCTGTGTGACTATCTGGAAATTATTGAGAACTATACGCTTAATCTTCAGGGATTTAGGGCTTAGGGTTCATGGTTGAGGGATTTAAGGTTTAGGGATCTAGGGCTTAGGGTTTAGTGATTTAGGGTTTTGGGATTTAGGGCTTAGGGTTTAGGTTTCAGGGGTTTAGGGTTTTGGGCTTAGGGTTTAGGGAAGATACTGTAAGCATTCATACCAATGCGTGCAGGGCCGCCTAGATGAAGCAAGGACTGCTTGAATCAATGCAGTGCGCCTTGTAATTATACTGAATAGATAGATAGATCGATAGAGAGAGAAATATATGTAATATATATATATATATATGTATATGTATATCCCGAACGCCCCTTCCGTTTCCTTAGGCTCCTGAAGTTATGAATCCAATTCTTACCCTTTGAAGCTTGCTCAAAAGACCTTGAACCATAACCCACGAACCCCAAAGGCGTGGCTTTTGGAACCTAATCCGAAACCATTAGCCCTAAACCCTGAATCCTCAACACTTCCTTGGGTTTGTTGGACCTAAACCCTAAACCCTAAAGGACACTAAGCTTGTCAAGCAGAGGCTGCATGCTGGAGTTTATTTGCCTGCTCACCACCGGGACCTTCGACCGCAAGACACGGAGGTGCCACGGCTTAGGGTTCCGGGTTAAGGGTTCAGGGTTTAGGTTGGGTACTGCCCCCAACCAGCAACAGTCTATATTAGGGGTCTTATTAAGGGCTATATATAACCACATATAAGTATTATCCAACTGTTACCGATGGGGGGGGGGGCAGTACCCAAGGTTTAGGGTTGTTTAGGGTTCAGGTTTACCTGAACCCCAAAAGTAGGTAAAATAATGGCCCAACACTTCTAAACACAGCCCAAAAGGCCATTATTCTACACACTCTTGGAGTTCACGTGGGGTTTAGGGTTGCACTGAAGAAGTGTTTTCACCATAGGGTTTCAAGAATCATTTAGGGAGCCCTGCTAACCTCCAGCGCTGCAAACCTTAAACCCTACAAGCGGTAGGCTTTGCAGCTTAGGTGTGTGGGTCAAGGTTGTGGGGAATGCAGCATGGAGGAGTATCTGATGTGAGAGTTCCTCGATTTCGTTTAGGGTTTTGGGGGTTCAGGGTTCCCTATCATGTTTGGGTGCTCCCTTGAACACTTTTGCGAAATTGCTGGGTGCATATTCAGTGCTGAGGGCTTGGGCAGGTTTAATGATGGGTGTACCTGGATGTTCATGGGACTTAGTATTTAGAATTTCACGCACAACCCCACCTCTGATGCCCGTATCTGACCTTATCTAAGCAACGCCAATTATCTTGTCACCACAGTTCTGAATGCTACTGATTGCCCATGTGCTACTAATTGCCCATATATTCTCAGTAGTCTAGGCTCTCAATCCTAGAACGCACGCTAACCGCAGGAAAAGGTCCTTAACAACCATATACAGTCAAGAACCAAACTCTGCACGCCCACCTTTGGCTGAAGGTGTCCGAAGCTTTAACCACTAAGATTTACTTATCTTGGGCCAAATCCCCACTTAGATCTAATGTTGAAAATCGTGCCCTCCAATTGACGTGCTGGTGGTCCATGGCGAATGGGTGGAATGGCGAGCCGAGCAAGCAATTTATAGTACTGACAGAGGCATCAACGCATCAACAAATGGACTGACCAACAGTCGTTGCGTATCCGAAGCCGTTTGCTTCCGCGTATCACAGGCACTTTGTCCTCAGTCTCATGTAAGACATCCTTTGAGAACTCCACAGGCTTCAAGAGGGTGGCACCCTTTGGCATTCTTGCCGTGACATGCGAGGGAGGCTAGCTGGGCTCGTTGCGCACGCCGCTTCAACACCTTCAGGTAGCATGGTGCAGTACAGCTTGCTGTGTTCTCCACAAGAAGGAAGCTCCAGTCCAACCTTCCCAGAGAAACAGCCAGGTCCGATAATTTGCCCAGATGCGATTCCTTGTGAGGAAGCTTTGCATCTATAGGGCGTAGAACAAGGAGAAAGCTTTTGTCACCCGAACCTCCCCCAAAATCAGGACCTTATTGAAGTCACACGATAGTCATAGTTACAGTGTCCTAATTTGGGCGTTTACCAGAAGCCTCAAAGTTGAATGGGAAGATAGAAGGCCCAGCTACAAGCTCCAACGAGATGTTGTTGAAGAACTACTACACATTCACCTGGGTTGCTGTTAAAGGAACTTCCGTACATTAAGTTGTTATTATAAGGAAACTTAATTTTCCATTTATACCTAAACCCAAAACCCTACATCCTAAACCTCAAGCACTAAACCCTAAACATATATTATGGAAACTTAAACTAACCCTAAACCTATATTATCGAAACTTAAACTAACCCCAAACCTATATTATGGAAACTTAAACTAACCCTAAACCTATATTATGGAAACTTATAGACCAACCCTA